CAAGTAAACGCATGACCTGCCATAAGCGGTATAAAATCCAAAAAAAGGTTCGAGAGCACCATCGAAAATTGAGGAAGGAGGCTAAGAAATGGGGTCGCAAGAAACCTAGGAAAGATCCAGGAGTTCCAAACAGTGCTCCCTTTAAGGAGGATCTTCTTCGGGAAGCTGAACTAAGGAAACAGCGGCTTGAAGAACTAAAACAGCAGCAGAAACTTGACAGGCAGAAGGAACAGGAAAAGAAAAGAAAACTTGAAATTAACCCTGGTGTTGAGCCATCTAACATGGAACCTGTAAAGGAGGAATCTGGGCAATGCAAAACCAAGCGGGGCAAACAGAATCCAAAGAAGTTATATTGTCAAGAACTTAAAAAGGTGATTGAAGCCTCAGATGTTGTGCTGTAAGTGTTGGATGCCAGAGATCCTCTTGGTTGCAGGTGTCCCCAGGTGGAAGAGGCCATTGTGCAGGGTGGACAGAAAAAGCTGGTACTTGTATTAAATAAATCAGATTTGGTACCAAAGGAAAATTTAGAGAACTGGCTAAATTATTTGAAGAAGGAATTGTCGACAGTTGTGTTCAGAGCTTCAACAAATCTGAAGGACAAAAGGAAGATAATCAAGATGAGGAGGAAAACTCCATTGAAAAGTGAAGTCTGCATTGGGAAAGAAGGCCTTTGGAAACTTCTTGGAGGTTTTCAAGAGACTTACGGCAAAGCTATTCAGGTTGGAGTAATTGGTTTCCCAAATGTGGGGAAAAGCAGCATCATCAATAGCTTAAAACAAGAACAGATATGTAATGTCGGTGTATCCATGGGGCTTACAAGGAACATGCAGGTTGTCCCCCTGAGCAAACACATCACAATCTTAATAGTCCAAGTTTCATTGTGTCTCCACTCAACTCTCCCACTGCACTTGCTCTGAGAAGTCCAGAAAGTATTGAAGTTCTAAAACCAGTGGAGGCTGCCAGTGCCATCCTGTCCCAGGCTGACACTCGACAGGTAATACTGAAATTCACTGTTCCAGACTTTAAGAACTCTTTAGAGTTTTTTACTTCGCTTGCTCAGAGAAGAGGACTACGTACACCAAAAAGGTGGAAGCCCAAATGTAGACGGTGCTGCCAAATTGCTGTGGTCTGAGTGGACAGGTGGCTCTTTAGGCTACTATTGCCATCCCCCTACATTCTGGACTCTTTCTCCACATTTTAATGAAAACACTGTGACAGACATGAAATGGGGCTTTAATCTGGAAGAACTGGAAAAGAACAATGCACACAGCATACAAACCATCAGGGGCCCTCGTTTAGCCTGTAGCATCCTTTTCCAGTCCTCGGGTCTGACGAATGGAATAACAGAGGAAAAGGACATAACTGAATTGCCAAAACAGAAAGAGAACAAGCAGGAAGAAGGGGAGGACTATGAAGACATCGACAGTGACCAGGATAGTGTTGATGAAGATGATGGTGAAAAGAGCTTAGACATGTCCTCTGCAAACGAGACCTGTGACACATTCCTTGATGAGTCTCAAGCAGATGAACAGTCTGCACAATCTTATGTCTTGGATGGAATGTCTGAAGAGGAAGATGATGCTTATGACTTCAGTACAGACTATGTATAACATAACTTTGTCCTCCTAGGGGTTTTTAGTTGCTGTGATTTATTTTTTTTATATTTTGAACAGATTGCTAAGCTATTCTATGTGTGTGATGTACCAGTTTGTTTCTGGTATGACATAAGCTGTATAAAATTTGTAAATATGAAAAAAAAAAGAACAAATTGGTTGCTAGATTGACAAACCTCAAAGAGAAGGGGGCTGGGGGGTGGGAGGAAATAAACCAAAGAACTTATATGCATAATCAATGGACGCAGACAACAGTGGGAAAAGGCAGGACGGGGGCGGAAGTGGGGAGGAGGGGGTCAATGGGGGGAAAATGAGGAACATCTGTAATACATTCCCAATAAAGATAAAAAAAATAAAAAGTAAATAAAAAAAAACTCTCAGCAAAGTAGGAATAGAGAGAACATACTTCAACATAATAAAGCCCATATATAACAAATCTGTAACTAACATCATACTCAATACAAGGTGTATTTGCAAGGATGTGGAGAAAAGGGAACCCTCATGTACTGTTGGTGGGAATGCAGATTGGTGCAGCCACTGTGGAAAAACAGTATGGAGGTTCCTCAAATACAAAAAATTAAATAAGGAACTGCCTTATGACCTAGTGATTCTACTTTGGGGTATATATTCAAGGAAACCCAAAACACTAATTCGAAGAAATATATGCACACTTATGTTCATTGCAGCATTATTTACAGTAGTCAAGATATAGAAGCAACTCAGTACCCATCAATAGATAAGTGGATAAAGAAGATGTGAGAGATATATATAATGAAATATTACTCAGCCATAAAAAAAAAAAAAGAAATATTACCATTTGCAATAGCATGGATGACCTAGAGGATAGTATGCTAAATAAAATAAATCAGAAAGAGAAAGACAATTACCATATGATTTCACCTACATGTGGAATCTAAAGAGCAAAATAACCCTGAACAGTTTGGCTCAGCGGTTAGAGCGTTGACCTGCGGTCCAGAGAGACCCGGGTTCAGTTCCCACTAAGGGTGCATACCTCAGTTGCAGTTTGTCCCTGGCCCTGGTTGGTCGTGCGGGTGGCAGCCACTCGATGTGTCCCTTTCACGTCGATGTTTCTCTCTCTCTCTTCCTCTCTCTCCCTCCCACTCTATCTGAACTAAAAATGGAAAACAAAGTATCCTCCGGTGAGGAATAGATAGATAGATAGATAGATAGATAGATAGATAGATAGATAGATAGATAGATAGATAGATAGATAGAAAGCAAAATAAACAAAACAGAAATAGACCTATAGATGAGACTGATGGTTGCCAGAGGAGAGGGTTTAGAGGGCTGGGTCAAAAAGGTGAATGGATTGGAAAGTACAAATTCGTAATTACAAAATAGTCATAGGAATGTAAAGTAGAGGATAAGAAATATAGTTACCAATGCTGTAATAACTACGTATGGTGCAAAGTTGGTACTGGAAATACCAAGCAGAACACTTTGTAAAGTATATGACTGTCTAACTACTGTGCTGTATACCTGAAACTAATACAAAATGTAAACTCTAATATAATTAAAGTTTAAAAATAAAGATAAGGTTTTCTACTATCAAAATCACAGCCAACAATAACAAATTACCAAGTAATTTTTAAATAGGAGGTAGTTTTTAAATGTTTTCATTTTAAAGATTTGGATGTTAAGAATACAGCATCACAGCCTCTCCCAATAGATTCTCTAGGTTTATACTAATACAACCAATGGAGGAAAATGTACAATTGCAAGCTGTTATTCGGCTAAGTAGCAGGAGTTTAATGCTTACCACCAATTATTTAAGAGACTAGGATCTCTCTAAACCACAGAACTTATATGCATATATACATGGACAGTTGACATGGACAACAATCTGGGGAAAGGGCAGGGAGGGAGGGGGGAGGGGGGAATCAGTGGGGGGAAAAGGAGAAACATCTGTAACAAAAATTAATTAATAAAAAATAAAAAATAAATAATAGACTAGGATCTCTCAAAAAGAGGTGTATACACACACACATACATCTATACTTTTATATATTGATATCTGTATCTATATATATATATTGTGCTGGAGACCACTTTTGCCAATGCAGTTCTAGAGTCGTCCTGGCAAATGCCTGCCCTAAAAGCAGAGAAGGGGCCTCTAAGCACATAAGAGACATGGAGCCAGGGGTCTAATCCATTAAGCCTTCAAAAGTTATATATGTAATAAATGTAATCTGTGTAATATATGTTTTAAGCCCTGGGATGGTATAAGACTTGATAGCACACAACAGGCAAGCAAATACTTAGTGATTTAACTTCTCTAGGTCTGTATATCCTCATCTATAAAATGGGGATGAGAACCCTCTGTGGAAAAGACTGATTAAGAGTAGGCTGGAACTATTTACAATAGCTAAGATCTGGAAACAGCCCAAGTGTCCACCAGTAGACGAATGGATCAAAAAGCTGTGGTACATATACACAATGGAGTACTATGCAGCGGTAAGAAAGAAAGATCTCTTATCCTTTGAGACGACATGGAGGGACCTGGAAAGTATTATCCTAAGTGAAAGAAGCCAAGCAGAAAAAGACAAATACCACATGATCTCACTTATATACGGAATATAATGAACATAACAGTCTGAGGAATACAGTAGACCCAGACACATGGAAGTAGGGCACAGACTGACATCCCTCAGAAGAGGGGAATGGGGGGTGGGGGGGTGGGAAGAGATAAACCACAGAACTTATATGCATGTATGCATGACCAATGGACATGGACAACTAAGCCGGGGACGGGGTGGAGGTGGGGTGGGGTGGGGGGTGCCAATGGGGTAAAAAGGTAAAATATCTGTAACAAAAAAATAAATAAAAATTCATTAAAAAAATTTTTAAAAAAGAGTAGACTGGAGAAGGTAGGAGAGGGGTGGGAGCAGGAAGGGGGGCGGTCAGTGGGGAAAAAGGGGAGACATCTGTAATACTTTCAACAATGCAAAAGAGATGACACAAGAAGCACTGCCTTATACCTGGAGCATAGGAAGTGCTCTACAAATCAAAGTTAGTATTACTAGGAAACACGGAATATTTTAGCTATCTTTGCCCCTAAACTAATAGCCATGCTCCTTTAAATAGCTTTTTTTTTTCCATTTTTTAAAATTAATTTATTTGTGTTACAGATGTTTCACCTTTTTCCCCCACAGACACCCTCCTCCTGATTCCGCCCCCCGCCAAATATCGTTGTCAATGTCCGTTGGTTACACATACATGCATAGAAGTTTAAATAGCATGATAAACGGCACTTTAAATAGCATTTTAAACAGCACTAGGATTTCTCCCAAATCAACTTAACAAAAGTAGAATATAAAAGGGCATTCTATTGTAGAGAACAGGAGGAAGGGAGACAGTAACACTTACTTATCCAGTTCCTGACATTGAGGAAACTTTGTTCATTTGTCAGATCAAAAAGCAGAAGAAACCCCATAGCATCTCTGAAGAATGCTGTTGTCAAGCTCCGAAACCTATGAACACAAAGGCAGACTGATCACCTGAACCATGGCCCCACCCCTGAAATATAAAGCTACCTGTAGGGCCCTCAGCCTCTCACTGTAGTTCATCAAAAACAAATTAGATGTTTAATAACATGCCATTGTTTCTAATAACTTCATGTTATACATGCGTATTATAGCTCTTAGTTACACAAGATTTAGTGAAGCGTGTGGTTATAAATGACACTTTAACAGTATAAAATTATGAGTATAGCCCTGGCCAGTTTGGCTCAGCGGTTAGAGCGTTGGCCTGTGGTCTGGAGAGACCCGGGTTCGGTTCCCGCTAAGGGCGCGTGCTTCGGTTGCAGTTTGTCCCTGGCCCTGGTTGGTCGTGCGGGTGGCAGCCACTCGATGTGTCCCTTTCACATCGATGTTTCTCTCTCTCTCTCTCTCTCCCTCTCCCTCCCTCCCACTCTATCTGTAAAAAAAAAAAAAATTATGAGTATAATCGATGATTTTAGGTATCTTACAAAATATAGTACATAGCTATCTAGAGCAAGAAAGAATATATATAGCATATCTAGACTTTTAAGAATGCCAACAATGATCAGAAGTTATACTTGGAATTTTCTTTTAAAATAAAAACAACCTGTATAAATTTTAAAAATTTAAATGAATTAGATGATGATATTCCAAAAGTGTGTAAGACAGTTGTTTATCACTTACATAAATGTATGTGTTAACAGACCATGTGATTTGAAAACCCAGCCTGCTGAACAGGGATGACAAGAAGGAGTTCATGGCCCTGGCCAGGGTGGCTCAGTGGTTAGAGTGTCAGCCTGCAGACAGATGAGCCTCGGGTTCCATTCCAGTCACATACCTCTGTTGCCAAACCAGGTCCTGGTCAGGGTTGTGTGGGAGGCAACCAGTCAATATGTCCCTCTCCCGTAAATGTTTCTCTCTCTCTCCCTCTCTCTCTCCCTCCTACTCTATCTGAAAATAAATAGAATAATATCCTCAGGTGTGGATTAAGAAAAAAAAAAAAAAGGAGATCCTTTAGTCTCACACAAGAATTTATTGTCCAGCTAAGAGTTAATTAGACCCAAACAATGGTGCTTGCTGTATATGTTTTCCTTGTCCTGTGAAGCTCGGCTTGACCTGACATTACAATGTGTTTCATGACCTTTTGATTTCAGTCTCTACAGCAGCCTCTTATCTCTGATGAACCATTTCTTTGGCTTTATGGTGGGAGTAGGAATGACTCAGTCCCTCCTCTTTCTGGGTACTTTTTTCCCCAAGGCTCTGTCCTGCTATCTCCTCTTTTCCTCTAACAGTCCATTTCCTCTCACTGTGCCTTATGCAAAGCCTGCGTCTGACACACATAGGCTCCAGGGAGACCTCTGCATTTGCTCGAAAATAATTTGGGGAAGGGAGTGAATAGGAAGGAGGGGTATGTATAAAATAAGATTGCCTACAACTTAACAACGGTTGAAACTGAGAAATGAATCCATGAGTTCATTGTATTATACTCTCTATGTACTTGAAGTTTCCATAATAAAAAGTTAGAAGACAAACAAAATCCTTCAAGGAATCTTGAGGAAAATTTTCTGTGAGGAAAAACAGAAACCTTAGCTAACTAGAAGCAACTTTACATCAAGATTTTGTGTGACTTACTTTGGCCAAGCATCTTCTGATCGTATGAGTTAATTCCAACCAGATTTTCCACTAGGTTTCAAAAATCAGCTAAGAATAATACATACAGGTGTTGGCAAAATAGGTTTATAGTGTGTGTATATAAATCAGAGTTTATTCTTGTATTATTATTTATTGTATTATTTCCCCATACAAACAATGGTAAACCTACTTTTGCCCACCCCTGTATGACTCTAGCTTTTTTGTGGCTGAGTAAAGAGCAAAAGGCAATGGAGAAAAGTGTATACTGTAAGCCTTTTAAAAATGAAGAAAAAAATTTTTCAAAGTCCATAAGTAAGGTGGTCCATTTGAAAAAGATTCATTTCTCCTTTGACCTTGTAATGAAATAAAGCCAACATTATCAACTCAGACTGATAAATGTCCTGCTAATTTGGAAGCATGTCTTATTCAGGCGCAAATCAACGAATCAGCTGGCTTTTTCCTGCTCAGATCACTGTATGAAAAGTGTAGCTGTTTTTCCCTTTCCTCCAGTAAGGAGAACGTAACTGAAGAGCTCATACCTCTCCTGCCCTGCTGTGTCCCATAACTGCAGGTGGATTCTCTGGCCTCTGCCAGTGGCTCCATCCGGCCCATTGGCTCTGTATACCTAAAATACCAAAATAAGAGAAAAATAACATACCTAAAATACCAAAATAAGAGAAAAATAACATACCTAAAATACCAAAATAAGAGAAAAAGAACTTCTGAGACCAGTGAACACTTCTTACTTTTCTATTCAGCACAACTCTAGTATAAACTTCTAAAGAAAATCCCATTTGGAATATAACCTTATTTGTATTTTACTCCAAATTGTCTTTGGATAATACAATGATTTTCATGAACATATATATATGCATTATATATTTTTATAAATATATTATGAAATATACGAATGATACATAATTTATATAAAAAATAATAATCAGCTCATCTTTCCTCAAAGAACCCTCTGGTCATTCACGTCAAGAAGTAGTACCTTCTGCCCTGGCCGGTTTGGCTCAGCGGTTAGAGCGTCGGCCTGCGGTCCGGAGAGACCCGGGTTCGGTTCCCGCTAAGGGCACGTACTTCGGTTGCAGTTTGTCCCCGGCCCTGGTTGGTTGTGCGGGTGGCAGCCACTCGATGTGTCCCTTTCACATCGATGTTTCTCTCTTTCTCTTCCTCTCTCTCCCTCCCACTCTATCTGTACAAAAAATGGAGAAATGTCCTCGGGTGTTGATTAAAAAAAAAAAAAAAAAAAAAAGAAGTAGTACCTTTCTATGACTTTTCCCCATCCCATCTTTTAAGAAATACTCTTAAAATAATTTTATAGGAAGTACCTCTGAAAATCTTTTTCCATAAAAATGAAAACAATAGCAAAAACTGTCAAAATCAACTTTTCCAGAACATTGAATATTAGTAAAAACAATAAGCTTTTTGGTGTTTTAACTTGTCCTATTCTCCTCTCCCTCTCCCTGGCTCCGCACTTGTCCTGAAAACCAACACACACACAACCATCACAGCTGTGAAAGCCATCAGTGTAGCGGCCAATGTAAGCAGTGGAGGCAAAACAGGTGTGGAGCTGCCCCAAAGTCTCATCCCAAGAGAACTGAAAGCTGCCTGTATAGCTCCATTCCCAGGCCTTGTCTGTTTTACCTGACTCAGAGCTCAGTCTGTGAGAATAACCCTATGCCTAGTGCAGTGTTTAAAATAATCAGCAGCAAGTATTTAACATCGCAGCTACCGAAGGCAAAAATACCTGTTGGGGCTAACACATATCTAACCAAAAGGACTTAAAAATAAAATTTAAAAAAACAGAAATGAGATGTCCTTAGAGAAATTTAAAAAGCTCCAATATATTCCTTGGCATCCATTAGACTGTGCTCATACACAGGGCAGTGCGTATGTCCAGGAAAGACCTGAAAAAGTCCTAATCTCTCACTGACCTTGAGGCTCTTCTCAAGCATAAAGTGAAGGCTAAGGCAGACTTATAAACCACCTACAGGAGCAAAGATGAAGCCCAGCCGGTGTGGTTCAGTTGGTTGAGCATTGTCCCATGCACCAAAAGGTCACTGGTTCGATTCCCAGTCAGGGCACATGACCGGATTATAGGCTCGATCCCCAGTAAGGGGTGTGCAGGAGGCAGCCAATCAATGTTTCTTTCTCTCTCTTCCTGCCTCTCTCTCTAAAATCAATCAAAACATATTTTTTAAAAACAATTCACAAAAAGACAACCAATTTCAAAATAGACAAAGGATCTGATTGGACATTTCTTCAAAGACGATATATAAATGGACAATAAAGAACTACAGACCAAGAAAATTGGTCAACAACATTCATCATTAGGGAAATTTAACTTAAACCTACAATAAGGTACCACTTCATACCCACTAGAATTGCTATAATCAAATAGACAATAACAAGAATTGGTGAAGATATAGAGAAATTGGGACCCTCATACATTGCTGGAAATGTAAAATGCTGCAGTATCTTTGGGAAAATGTGGAAGTTCCTAGGCATATACACAAGAGATTTGAAAACATAAATCCAGCCCAGCCAGTGTGGCTTAGTGGATTGAGCATATTCCCATGGACTGAGAGGTCCTAGTTCAATTCCCAGTCAGGACACGTGCCTGGATTGCAGTCTCTATCCCCAGTAGGGGGCGTGCAGGAGGCAGCCAATTGACATATCTCTTTCATATCGATGTTTCTATCTCTCCCTAAAAAAAAAAAATTCAATAAAACATTTTTTTATAAAAGAAAACACAGCCCTGGCTGATTTGGCTCAGCGGTTAGAGCATCAGCCTGTGGTCCTGAGCGTCGGCCCGCGGACCAGAGAGACCCAGGTTCAGTTCCCATTAAGGGCACATACCTCAGTTGCAGTTAGTCCCCGGCCCCTGTTGGGGTCATGTGGGTGGCAACCACTTGATGTGTCTCTCTCACATGGATGTTTCTCTCTCTCTTCCTCCCTCCATCCCTTTCGCTCTATCTGAAGATAAATGCAAAAAAAAGAAAAAATGTCCTCGGGTGAGGATGAAAAAAGAAAAACATAAGTCCACACACAGAAAAATGTATATGAATGTTAAGAGAAGCATTATACATAATTGCTAAAAAGTGAAACAACCCAAATAGACAAATGGATAAACAAAATGTGGTATATCAGTACAATGAAATGTTATTTGATCATAAAACAGAACGAAGTTCTGATACATGCTACACCATGAATGATCCTCGAAAATATGCTACATGAAAGAAGCCAGACACAAAAGGCCATATATTGTATAATTCCATTTACATAATATGTCCAGAAGAGGTAAATCCTTAGAGAGTAGACAAGTGGCTGGGCAGAGGAGAAATGGGGAATGACTGCAAAAGGGTATGAGGTTTCTTTCCGGGGCAATGAAGTGTTCCAAAATTAACTAGTGATGATGGTTGCACAAGTGTAAATATATTAAAAAACACTGAACAATATACTTTAAATGAGTGACTTTTAATTAATTTATTTATTTTTTTTGGTATGTGCCCCTAGCGGGAACCAAACCAGGCACTATATGATCCACAGGTCGATGCTCCAACCGCTGAGCCAAACTGGCCAGGGCTAAATGGGTGACTTTTATAGTATGTGAATTTTATATCAATAAGCTATTTTTTTAAAAAGATTATAAGATGAGAATTAGTAAATATAATCACATATATATTAACTATACCAATTATATGTCAATATTGAAACTTTCATAAAGATCCTGTTTTTACTCAGTGGGTCTGAGTCTCTGTAAGACTCTAGTAATGGAAAAAAAGACCTGAAGTGAGTAGGAAGGAATGAAAATTTCTGTCCTGGAAGCCAAGGACCCTGTATCTTTCCTAGGTAGAGAATGTTCGATGGAAGGGTCTTGTCCATTGATCTCCTGAACACTTGTTGACCTGCTCCATGGTAACAGTCAAATGTCTAGCGAGAAATATAGTTCATGGAAAAAGCTCTCTTCATTCCTCTGCCACTCTGACACAGTGACCTCCTGTCTTCTCCTTGACCGCCAGACTATTTTTTAGTCTTGTGGTCCTTGACAAAACAAAAAAAGAGCCTCCTCCCTCCTCATTCTGCAGAATTTCTGTTCGCCGTGTTACTTCCCAGGCACACGCATGACCAGCATCCCCACTGCTCCTCCCAACTCCCCTCCGGGCAGCAGCGAGTCCCGCCACTTAGTGTTCCTTGCAGGATTGCTGAGGCCTCAGTTAAGAGCAAAGTCATCAAGAAAAATATCAAAGGTAGAAGAAACAGCCAACAAAACAGTATGGGGCAGGGTGTTTTGTAGGCTTCCTAACAAATGTTGACAAATGACTTTGTGGATTTCAGAGGGGAGACAGAAGCCAAAAAAGTATCAAGGGAACATTAAAAAGAATCTTCACCTTTACTTTGTCTGCCTGGTTGTATATGAAGTGTCCCTCAGCACAGCCCTTTCTAAATCACACTGCCCGGATTGAACATAATACACTTTTATATGTACCCTTAATTTTAGATTCCAACCTTTGTCCTCCTAATTCCTACAATGTAAACTAAACAGACGGGCAAATGTGAACTCAGAGATTACATTTTCATATAGAAGGATATAGAACTTACCACTCTCTTTTCCCTGAAATCGATGCCCACTGTTGTGATAAATTTTGAGTTAAATTTACCATCTGTGTACTGGTAGAGTACACTGGTCTTTCCTACTCCAGAGTCTCCCAAAGCTAAAAACTTGATAAGGTAATCATAGTCTCCATCAGACATAATGAAGAACTCTGGTTCACCTGCAAAAAAAAAAAAAAAAACACATGCAATATTTACTGAAAATCCATTAGAAAATATTAGAATCTAAGATCTGGAAACAGCCCAACTGTCCATCAGTAGATGAGTGGATAAAAAAGCTGTGGTACATATACACAATGGAATACTATGCAGCTGTAAGAAAGAAAGATCTCTTATCCTTTGAGACAGCATGGAGAGACCTGGAGAGTATTATGCTAAGTGAAATAAGCCAATCAGAGAAAGGCAAAAACCACATGATCTTACTTATTTGTGGACTATAGTAAATAAAATAAGCTGATGAACAAAATAGACCCAGAGACATACAAGTAGGGTTCAGACTGACAAAACTCAGAGGAAGGGGGCGAGGGGGAGGAAAGAGATAAGCCAAAGAACTTATATGCATATATACATAACCAATGGACATAGACAACAATGCTGTGGGGGGTGGAGGCGGGATCAGGAGGAGGGTATCAGTGGGGGGAAAAGGAGAAACAACTGTGACAAAAATAAATTAATTTTAAAAAAAGACAAAAATCCAAAGTGACAATGATAATCAAGAAGGTAATGGTCATTAAGTCTTATATACCGATCACATAGAACAAAACTTAAATTTAAAAAAAAGAGAGAGCCCTGGCCGGTTTGGCTCAGCGGTTAGAGCATCGGCCTGCGGTCCGGAGAGACCCGGGTTCGGTTCCCGCTAAGGGCACGTACTTCGGTTGCAGTTTGTCCCCGGCCCTGGTTGGTTGTGCGGGTGGCAGCCACTCGATGTGTCCCTTTCACGTCGATGTTTCTCTCTCGCTCTCTTCCTCTCTCTCCCTCCCACTCTATCTGTACAAAAAATGGAAAAAAGTCCTTTGGTGAGGATAAAAAAAAGAGAGAGAGAGAGAGAGAACGGAGAATGTTACAGGAATAATAACAATTCTTAGAGCACAAGTGGTTCCAATTCCTCCCCCAGTTCACTTCTTTTTCAAAGTCTCCTAGTGCTGGATCCTGGGCTTTTCTCTCTTTTTATTTGGACATCTAGGCCATTTCGCTTATTCTCTTCCTTTTCACATGTCATTATAGTTCCTTCAAAGACAATGCTAAACTAGCAAGTAACATTTGGCTTGCAGTTCCTTCCTTCCTTCCTTCCTTCCTTCCTTCCTTCCTTCCTTCCTTCCTTCCTTCCTTCCTTCCTTTCTTCCTTCCTTCCTTCCTTCCTTCCTTTCTCTCTTTCTTTCTCTCTTTCTTCTTCTTCTTCTTCTGATGATGATGATGATGATGATTGCATGCTACATATTAAATCAGGTTTTCCTGACTCTCACGGCTTACTTGGCAACTGAGTGCCAGATCTGAGCAGTCACTATACAGAGGCCACAGTTCACAATGAAGGGCTCACTTACCTATTTGCCTTCGTATTCTAACAAGAAATGCTACCAATTCAGTTCTTCAGTGTTAACTAACACATAAGTCCACTTTAGAGAAGAAAAATTCTTGTTTTTATCAGCACGACCTAACCATGCTGATGTTTTATCCTTCGCAACAGCACTTTTCATGATTTTTTTTATCCTCTAAATAGATTCAAACTATTCAAAATTTCAGTCTGACTAAAAATGCAGTCTATCTCCCAGGAAGGTTTCTTTTTATCCTCCCACTTTTAATACCAATAATTCCTCCTGAAATTAGAAAAATAATCAGCTAACCCATTACCACTGACGACAACTCTACTTGCCCATCCAAACACACATATTCGCCCATCCACACATACATCGGGTCCCCTACATTAGAAGTTGTGACTTTCCTCTCATTGTCTCCTTTTCACCCAGAAACTTAACAATTCTCCACATGTCCTATAAGAATATTTCCATAGATCCATAATATTAATAAAAGCTCAGGCAAGGACGTTTATCAGTTTTGAAGGTTGCCTCCCCAACCCCATCCTCAATTGGGTGACTCACTTTAGCCTCAAAAATCCTGATTGCCGAGACCCAAGAGCCACTGCGATGCACTTCCCCAGAGCACCTGGGTGCAGATCTGACTTCACGTTCAGATACGGCTGGTCAGTCGATAAGGGCAGAGCCTCTACAAACATTCATAATTCTATTTGCACACTATAAAAAGTGACACTTTATAGATGATGGCTTTCCTACGTTATCGCTTCTGTTTTCACAGGTGTAAGTTGCCAGTATTAAGGGTATATAACAGAATTCTTCTCCAGAAGATGACCACTTGGGTACAAATAAATAGTGTAGTATGTCATATCCCAGCATCTCATTTGGCTCCAAGTTATTCAGAAAGAATAGCTAAGAATTGAAAAGCAGGTCCAGATAATGTTTAATCATTTTGGGAGGGGTTCCCGTCCAAAGAAATGAGGAAGCAGAACACAACTCCAAATTCTGCAATGAGAGTGATGCAAGAAGACGATGTAGCTGCCTTATTTCCTCTTTACATCAAATTTGAAAAAAAGTCAGTCATTTCTAACACTATGTGTTTATATCATTTAAGTTACAAAAGAAAATGCTGTCACCAGTGGCATCACTATTCTAGAATTCTCTAAACGCACTTGAGTGTTACGTAAATAGTGTGACACATGACCTCTGAAGTCAAGCAGAGCTGGGTTGGATTCCATGTTTCCCACACACCGTTAAGCCCTGTATTTCATGTTTCCATTCCATTCTATGACAAAGAAGAAAATATACACTATCTCACAGCACTGTTGTAAGGATGGCATGAGATACTCTTTGTGGACTTCCCAGCACCATGCTTGCAATATCCTGGCTACTCAGTAAATGTTAGCTCGCTCGTTTCTCCCCATTGTGGACAGATCAGACTGGCTCTAAAGACCTAGGACAATTTCTGAAATTACCACTGGGAAGTTCAAAACATATATTTGTAGCACAAAAGATTGCTGACTGGCTCACAGTAGTTTGCTGAGTCAACAAAGATCACTTTCAAACTAATTCTTTTTTGGCTGGTTCAAACCACTTTCAATTCATTTTGTTTTTTTACTTTTCTAAAATGTTTTTAGATAGAGAGGAAGGAAGAGGGAGATAGAAACATCAATTGGCTGCCTCCTACAGAACCCCAACTGGGGATCGAGTCCACACCCAGACATGTGCCCTGACCAGTAATTGAACCAGTGACCTCTTGGTGCATGGAATGATGCTCAATCCACTGAGCCAAACCAACAGGGCTCAATTCATTTTAAATAGATATGTTGATTTCAAAAGAGTTAATACCAGCCTGGCTGGTGTAGCTCAGTGGATTGAGCATTGTCCCATGGACTTAGAGGTCCCGGTTCAATTCCCAGTCAGGGCAGATGCCCAAGTTTCTGGCTCGATTCCCAGTAGGGGGCATGCAGGAGGCAGCCGATCGATGTTTCTCTCTTACATTGATGTTTCTCTCTCCCTTCCTCTCTCTCTCTAAAAAAAAAAAAAATCAATAAAAACATATTTTTTAAAAGTTGTGACCAGCTTAAAAGCAGATTCAAATTTGTATAAAACACAGCAATCCATTCTAAAAAGCTCATACTTGTTCAAAAGATTTTTTAAAATAGTTTATCAACTCAACAAAAGGAAGACAAAGAACCCAATTAAAAAATGGGCAGAGGACCTAAATAGACACCTCTCCAAAAATGACATACAAATGGCCAACAGACACATGAAAAAATGCACAACATCACTAATCATCAGAGAGATGCAAATTAAAACAACAATGAGGTATCACCTCACACCTACCAGAATTGTTGCCATCAACAAATCATCAAACAACAAGTGCTGGCGAGGGTGTGGAGAAAAGGGGACTCTAGTACACTGCTGGTGGGAACACAGACTGGTGCAGCCACTGTGGAAAACAATATGGTGTTTCCTCAAATAATTAAAAATTGATCTGCCATTTGACCAAGTGATCCCACTTCTAGGAATATATCCTAAGAAGCCTGAAACACCAATCAGAAAGAATATGTGTACCCCTATGTTCATAGCAGCACTATTTACAATTGCTAATTGGAAACAGCCCAAGTGATCATCAGTAGATGAGTGGATAAAAAAGTGATGGTACATATACACAATGGAATACTAATCAGCTACAAGAAAGAAAGATCTCTTATCCTTAGAGACAGCATGGAGGGACCTGGAGAGCATTATGCTAAGCAAAATAAGCCAATCAGAAAAGACAACTACCACATGATCTCACTTAATTGTGAACTATAATGAACAAAATAAGCTGATGAACAAAATAGACCCAGAGACATAGAAAGGAGTATGGTTCAGACTGACAGACCTCAGAGGTGGGGGCGGGGGGAAATGGATGAGATAAATCAAAGAACTTATATGCATGTAAATGTAACCAATGGACATAGACAACAATGCTGGGGATTTGGGGGTGGGATGGGGTGGAGTGTGTCTAGGGGGGAAAGGAAAAATATCTGTAACAAAAATAAATTAATAAAAAAATTTAAAAAATAGTTTATTGATTTTTAGAGAAAGAGGAAGGGAGGGGGAGAGAGAGAGAAACATTGATGTGAGAGAGAAACATCATCAATCAGTTGCCTTCTGCATGCCCCTCACCAGGAATCAAGCCTGCAACCCAGGCATGTACCCTTGACCAGGAATCAAACCAGCAACCTCCTGGTGCCCAGGATGATGCCCAACCAACTGAGCCATACTGGCCATGGTTGTTCAAAAGAATTTGAATGGTTCATACTAGTTCAGAGTAAAATTGTTGAGTTATAAAAGGTTCTACCTATAAAACCATCTCTGACTGATCTAAAACCATTCTGGCTAAAACCAGACAAATTTAACCAAAATTATTTGGGTCTGGTTTTAATAGCTCAAATTGCTTCAGACTGGTTTTATCTGGCTCTTGTAAGTTCAGACCTGGACAAGCAAGTTCTGACTGGCTCTCAGAAGGTTTGATTGATTCAGAGCATATTTGACTGAATCAAGGTAGTGCTAACTAATTAACTCTATCTCCAGCTGGGTCATACGTGCTCTAATTCTATCAAACTGCTTGTAACTATTTC